GCCAGCGGCCCCGGGGCTGGCACAGCAGCGCTGGCCTTGGCCCCGCGGCCCCAAGAGCCCCTGGCCCCTCCTTCCCACGAGAGGTTCCCACGACCTGCAGCTCATCCTGCTCACAGTGGGCAGCCAGGCCCCATCTGGGGGCTGAGCAGGGGCTGCTGCCAGTCCTCAGCTCCCCCCTGCCCACCCCAGTGCCTCAGTTCCCACACCCAGCCCGGGTTTGTGCTGGATCCCTGCTCCATGCTGTGTCCCAGCACCCTTCACCCCCACATTGCCTCCAGGGTGCAGAAAGCCCCCACCTCCCAGGAGCCCCCTCACCAGGGGAAACTGAGGCACAGACAGCAAGTGCCTTTAGAATGGCTCCTGTGTTGCCAGGTTGGCAGAGCCACTGCCTGCACCCCTGCCAGGGGGCTGGGGACCAGGGCAGGGTGGCACTGGAGCTGGCTTTGCCCACAGCATGAATCTCTGCCCAGGTCCCCCCTGGCCTGGCACCAGCCCCTCACACTGGAGCCAGTGGTACCAAAAGACCTTTATTTCCAGGGTTGGTGAATGGTGAGTCCCGGCAGCACCAGAACTGTGCCAGCTGTGCCCTGCTCACCAAACCAGCACACGGCAAATCCCACCCAGGTGGCTTTCAGGAATAAATACAGCAACAAGTGCCAGGGCAGCAGTGTCACCTCCCAGCACATCCCGTGTCTGTCCCCACTGAGCACCCTGTACACACTGGCTCTGGGCCCACATCCAGGGCCATGGTGTGGCAGAGCATCCTGCTCTGGGGCTTCTGGGCTCTCCTCCCTCCCACGAGGCTCAGGGCTGGCAGAGCTGCTGGAGGACACGGATGATGTGGCTGGAGGTGCCAGGGGCACAGGGCTGGGGACAGCTCCGGAGCAGGTTTGGCCCCATGCGCTGGGCATGATGGAAGAGCTCCCGTGCAAACACTGGCTCCACCTGCAGAGACACAGACCTGGTGGGCAAGGGACCCTGGGCCCCCATGGCCACAACCCCCCACTTGGCTTGGTGTCCCCCACACGTCTCATTGAGGTGCTGGAGCATGTCCAGAGAAGGCAACCGAGCTGGGGAGGGGTTTGGAGCACAAGGGAGGAGCAGCTGAGGGAACCAGGGGTGTTTAGTCTGGAGAAAATGAGGCTGAGGTGAGACCTTGCTCTCTGCAACTGCCTGAGAGGAGGTTGGTGCAAGGGGCAGGGGGTCGGTAACTGCTCCCAAGGAACAAGTGACAGAACAAGAGAAAATGGCCTCAAGTTGTGCCAGGGGAGGTTTAGATTGGATATTAGGAACAATTTCTTCCCCAAAAGGGTTGTCAGGCCCTGGCCCAGGCTGCCCAGGGTAGTGGGGGGGTCCCCATCCCTGGAGGGATTTAAAAGCCATGTAGATGTGGTGCTGAGGGACATGGGTTAGTAGTGACCTTGGCAGTGCTGGAGGAATGGTTGGGCTTTTCCAACCAGAACCATTCTCTGATCCTGTACTCACGTGGGCCATGATGAGCTTCTGGAAGTGGTGCCTGCTGCTGGTGGGGTACTCCTCCCCAAAGCAGAGGTGGATCTGGTACTGTGGTGTGGGCTGCCCCTGGCTCAGGTATCCCCGCAGCTCTGCAAGACACCGGCCCTCTCAGGGGACAGCAGGGTCCCCACAGCCCAGAGCAGGACATGCCCCTGTTCCCAAGGGATTGGGGTCTCCCAGGGCAGGGGCAGGCAGAGCCCAGGACAGCACTTACGCTGCAGGAACTGCTGAGTGTCCAACAGCTTGTAGGTCTTCTCCCTCTCCAGCTTGTTGGGCCAGTCCCTGTGCGGGGCCAGTGGCCCGTTCCAGTACACCCTGCCCTGGCACTGGCGCTTCATGAAGACCCCCTCGGGAGCCACCCAGAGCAGGACCCAGAGCTCCAGGTGGGGCAGGAGCCGCTCCAGCACGTCGGTCATACCGGCCCCCCGGCCAGCACCGCCCAGCGCCCGCGGGGAGGGAAACTCGCTCTGCTCCATGCAGGAGGGGCCGTAGAGGCTGTGGCTGTCGGCGGGCACGGCGCGGGAGGCGATGCGGCAGCCCTCGGCCGTGCGGGTCGTCACCTCCTTCACCAGCACGTCGCAGTAGTAGAGGCGGACGTGGAGCCAGCAGTCTGGGGAGAGTGGAGGGGCAACTCGTGCTTAGCCCGGGCTGGGGGGCCATCCAGGGCACTGCCCTGACAGCACGGCTCCTACCTGAGTGATTGACGTCCTCCACGGGGAGGTAGGACAGGGGTCCGGGGAGGAGGTGGCCATGGGTTGGGTTCCAGCCATAGAAGACCCCTCTCACGTGGTACCCTGGGCCAAGGCAGAGACAAGGTGGCAAAGGGATGTGGGCAGCTGTCCTCGCGGGCCCTCGGGTGCTGTCCTGGCCCCAGCCCTTGGGCCAGGAGGGCAACAGGATCCTTCCCACCCACTGCTGCCTGTTACTAGGCCATCCTTAAAGCCTGTGAGCACACAGGCATCATCCCCACAGCCATTCCCAGCACAAAGACTGCAGAAAGTAGGGCTGGTCCTGTCGGGCAGCATGTGCTGCTGCTGCCCCCGCCCCATCCCGCCGCCCGGGACCTTCCTCACCTCGCTCAGCCCGGTGGGCAGAGGGAACG